TATATATATATATGCCAACTCTCCAAATTTTTGCAGTCCCATCACGTTGGTCCGACCCATTCCCATTTATGCGGCTCGTTGTGCCAATCTGCAATTGCATTTTTGCGGCTTGGCCACTGCCCGCCCCGCAGTGGTCCGACAGAAATAATATTTTCATGCTTCGCAGGAGAATTCAAACCACGGGCCCTGCGAGGGAGCAAAAGGAGGTTACCAACTCAAGTCTCATTGAATATGTATGCATTTTATTCCTGTATTAATATTGAACAGTGATAATATATGTATATGCGTATAGATATATACATTTGTGTGTGTGCACGGTGCGCGCGCTTGCATGCATGAAAAATAATAAAGTATTCCGGATCCTAATATTTTCGGGCAACGAGGTCGGTTTTACCTGAAAATAGGAGGACAACTGATACACCTCCAATAAATCTGCATCATCCGACATGAGTCTCAATACATGACACAAATCTCGAAGCAACCTTTTTAGAAAAAAAATATTCTAACATCGATAAAAATTTATCCAGAACTCTGATTTCAATAAATCTAGTTCGAACCAAATTAAGCCTAGATCAAGCTATTAAACCGCTTTTTCAATTTATTGGGCACATTTAGAAGGTTAAACAAATGTCGATTCTGTCGAGTCTATAGTCAAATCGAGCGTCTTGACAAGACGAATGCAACGAGCCCAAGATCACACTATTACGACATTATTAAGTTACTCAAATGTTCATCAAATGTCGTTCGATTGATAGAATCCCTCTGAGCTGTCCGATCAAAGTGATTCATATTATTACCTTAATTGCACCAAGAACTCTATAAATAGAGCCTCACCTTTCTTATGAGGGGAGGAGAAAAGTTTGAGTCATGAGAAAAAACATGAAGTTATGAGAAGAAACTAAAGTCCTGCACCACTTCTGCCGTCGTCGACCACTGTCAACCACCTTCGACCACCACTGACCACCGTCAACCACCGCCGACAAACATCGACCCCCGTCAACCACTATTGGCCACCACTGATCGAACGCCACAAATCGCTATCGGTCGTCAGTCGACGTTGTAACTTAGGAAACTTAGTAACATTTTCCGACCCATGGGCAAGTTCTTGCAACTGTAATATTCTTTTTATGGTTAAACTCTTCAGCTGGGTTAGCCCCATGATTTTTCTCTATCCGGATTTTCTACTTAAAAATTTTTAGTGTCATTATTAGTTTCTTCCTCTTTTCTGAGTGTGTGTTGATTCTTTGTATCATGCTAGACGATAATTTGCTACACTACTGCCGCAAATTTTCTCGCACGCATCATATGTAACTACAAATGTTTATGTTTTAGATATGTAAATACATAAGAATTGTGAGGTATGTATATAAATGCCCTTATCTTCAAATATTTAAAAGCTGCAGGCCATAGTAGCAATCAACATTATCAAATGTAATGGGTTACGATAAGAACATAATATCTGGACTGAAAATTTAGCTTAATATTTGTCGGATATGAATAAATCATCACAACAAGTTAATACATGTAATTTTTTAAATAAAGATTAATAATAATTGAGTTTCCCTAGTGTAGTCTTTCGGCTAAATTCTATGTAGCATTCCTAGGCTGCAAAATTGTTTTTTTTAAAATTTTTTTTTCTTTTTAAACGTTGCGCCTTAATATAATTATGCTAGAAATCATTAATGAAGGTGTGTTTTAAATTTTAACCTCTTAATTAAATAAATTTTATTTTAAAGATTATCGTTAGTGTGCTATAAATAATTTTTTTTTTCAAGTGTGAATCTCAATGCATTTTTGACAAAAAAAAATTTAAATTCAAATTCAAGATTATCGAAGCCACGATTTTAGCAATTTTATTGTCAAATTAACCTTCTCTACAAGACCAACCTAACGATATAAAAATTGGTTCAATCCAGCTCTAATCAAAATCATATGAAACTGCCTACAAAACTAACCTAATGATATAAAAATTGGTTCACTCCCGGTCTAATCAGAAACAGATGAAACTGTTGAAGCAATTTTGAATGTTTTGGACCATCAATTCAATGGTCGAATGAACTCTAAAATTAACATATTTATAATCGAATTGAGCGTCTCGAAGAGAGAAATCCGATGAGTAAAATCATTTAAAAATCACTCAAATCATTTAAAAATGACATATTTCGGGAGCACGAATCACAAAGACATCTCGTGGATGATGGAAGACCCCACATGGCCTACCAAGGATGACCCGGGACCACACGCTCAGCCGGCGAGCCCCTGTGTACCGGGAAGACGGTGCTCCTCAGACTGATAAAGGATAGATCACCCTTAAAGAATCTGACCAGATCCACTCAGATGAATATGTTACCTTCCAACTCGGATAGATTGGGAAAGTGAAACAGGTTCTTCAATTCCAGAGCGGTTGATGTAGACCCTCAGAAGTAGCCACCCAGCCTCACTACCGCCCGACCTAACGGCCACTCATCTTGATGGTCACACGACTCAACCATCATCTGACCATATACATGGGGCCCATGGGCTATATTTGTGTACGGATTGAAATAGTCTTGCCATACCTACATAATTTAGCGGTACATTGTGTAATTGCACTTTGACTCATCTCTATAAATAGAGGGTCAATATCATAAATAAAGGTTACACAAATTTATTGTTTATTCTTATGCTATTGTTCCCCCCTCTATCTCTGTCTCTCATCCTTCCGCGCTCTATTCCTTAGGTGTGTCTGTTGGGCATATTTGGATTGAATACATATGGTCAACAGAGGTCGAACGGTCAGGTGGCTATAAAAATTACACTTCAAAATACCACAATGCCCTCCTCAAATTGCTATAAATTGATGCTCTATGTTCACTTAAAAGGGGGAGAGGATGTGGAGACCGAGAGGTGGAATTTCAAAGCTTGTTTTGGAGAAAAGACACAACAAGTAACCGCTAGCTTCTATTACTGTCGATCACTGTCTATCACCACCCCCAACCACCGTTGACCGTCACAGTCTAATCGCCGATCACTGACCACTGTCAACCACTACTTACAACTGTTAAAGTTAAAATAAAGCCATTATGTCTAACCCCTATACTTTCTACTGTGGTGTATAAAGAAAAGTGTATTTTTTCAGTATAAAATTGCAATATCCCTATTCTAAGAGAAGAACCTACTTATACTTAAAAACACACAAAAAATTATTTTAATTGGGCTAAATCGCAAGATTTTTTTTCTTTCCAAGTTTTTTTCACGTAAAACATTTTGATGTCTTCTTCTTTTATCTATGTGTGTGTTGTATTTTTGTGCGGCACTAAAATGCTAAATAATTACTCTACGCCGACACACAACAATCATAGATTTTTTTCATGATTGTAAGCTCTAACAATCAAATATATATTATTGCAATCATTATATATACATTACATGCTACTCTTACAATTAGATGATGAGGGTTAGCTTTTTTTAAGAAATTTCCTATGATTAGGCCGGCAGCTCTCAACGCCGCATTTTATTATATGAAAAATTTACAAACTAACATGTTTTTAGATTGTTGACAACCCAATTTTTATAATTTCATTTATAACACTTAATGATTTTTAACTTTAAGTGAAAAGTGCATATTATTTTTAAAAATTCAAAAATGATAATATTTTTTATGTCATGTTATATATTCCATTAAAAAAAATAAAAGAAAATTAAATACAATGATGTTAAAAATTAAGTGATATTTTTGAACTGCTGAACGGATGTTATTAAGAGTGTTACAATTAATTTATTGAGAATTGAAAAATGGGAGGAAAGAGCGTCATTGATCGGTAAATTTCAAGTATGGGGTGGTCTGTACGTAATTGCCTAAAAGTTCAAAAGTTCCATATATAAATGCATAAAAATGGTGTGATTAATATGAAATACACCTTTCCTTTCCTACTCAACTTCGTCTTCTCAATATGGATCAAGAAACCAACCACCCTGCGAATAAGGAATCTGAAGGTGAGTTCACTTTAGTTTCACACTTTTTCTGTATTCTACTTCTATAACTAAGCTGATTATTCGATCTATCAATACTTCTCTCCGGTGAAGGAGAAACAACATCTGGTCTAAGAAGTTGGCCGGAAGTGGTGGGTCTTACGGCGGAAGAGGCGGAGAAGAGAATCAAGGAAGATGATCCCAAACTTCGCCTCCAAGTTGTTGGTCCAGATCGCTGCGTGACTGCGGATTTTGTGACGGATCGTGTTTGGATCTTCGTGGATTCCGAAGGAAAGGTTATCCGCACGCCCACGATTGGGTAGATCAACCTGATAATGATCAATGATACCTGGTTTATTTGATGCTTGAGTGAATTTGATCTCACTTTGAAATGCTATGTGATGTCTGCTTCAATAAAAAAACTATAAGCTATGCTGTTTCTTGTTACCATGAAGCTTTGAAGGAAAAATAAAGTTGGATTTAGCATGAATCTTGTCAGATAGAAAAAAAGACAACTTCTAGATTGATTTACAGTTTTGCCTTGAATCCCGAATTTATTAAATCCTGGTGTTGGTAGGCTTTATTAAATCTGAATGTATAGAATTTACTCCATCCGTGACCAAAGAGTACAGGGCACATCTTCTAGTATCTGATTAACTGTTTTATAATTGGTAATTTCAAAATTTTAGCACTGTTTTCAACTAAGTTTTTCATCATTTTTCTTAGCATAACTACTAGTTTGAATCATATATAATGTAAATCGACTTTAGCAAAACCAATTAAATATCCAATCTCACCAAAATTATATATAAAAAGAAGATTTACCTCTGCCTGGAGTCAATTAAAAATCAAATTTGGTTTGGATTCAATTTCAATTTTGTGGAACTGATTAAATAAGATTTGGATATTGAAAACAAAAAGAGAAAAATGGAAACAATCTGACTGCTGGTAGAGTGAATGCAGTTTCCTTGTTTGTTACTTGTGAATCATGATTGTGATTGTGATGATATGACAAAATATGTGTTATGATTTAGTGGAGTTTTTTCTCTTATTCATGTAGAAACTAAAAAAATTCATGTCTTATGTCATTTTGAATATGATTTTTTTCTTAAATTTGGTCAAAATTCCATGCCGATGTACATCATTGAACGGAGGTTAGTAGGTCAGCTTGTTTCAACTCAAAATTATAATTGCAATATGGAGATCATCACAATTCCTTGGTGTTTATTTTTGAAGATGACATAGTTCTAATTAACAAGACTTCTAAATAATAATAATAATAATAATAATAATAATAATAATAATAATAATAATAATAATAAAAAATGAATAAAAATGAGAAGTTATAATAATTAAATAAAAAAAGTTTAGAAGGTAAAATGATGTGTATATAGATGAACCTGATATTACTTATTTGGACAAACTGCCCAATTTTTGTGTTTACTTATCTAATGCCTAAACATTAGAGTGGTTAAAATGTAATTCGTCAAACAAATCAAGACTTACTGCAAATATAATGTATAATAATGTATAAATATAGCATTTGATGACAATAAAAATCCTTCAAATGATGAAATACAGAAAAACTACAATGTAGTAACACAGATTAATGACCCCTTTCCCTGAACCAGAAAACACTCCATCCTACTACTTTTCCACAAATCACAAGTAGAGAACTCTAGATCTAGTAAGCGCAGCTTCCATTATCACTTCTCGCAGTGGGATCAAAGTTCTGCGCCGCCGGATCGGTGCAGCCTTCAGGCACAGGAACCTGCACTTGCTGAGCTCCCTTGCCTGCACCATAATTTTCCAAAATGTAAGCTCACATAACTCCCAAATGGCTTAGCTGAAACACTAATGAAATGAAGTCGCAAACCTCCGGCGAAAACCTTAGTGTTTAAGAGCTAACCATAGAAAGAACCAGTCTTCAGGGCATCTTCATTGGCATCCCCAAGCGCAGCTTCTCTCAAGTACTTGTCAGCCAGCTGCACCCTCTTCACATTCTCCTGCTCCTTCACCAGCATGTTTCCATACTCCAGCAGCTTCTCCAAGTTCATCTTCGGCTGTTTGAATTTCGGAGGCCCCTCCCGAGAATTCACCAGCCTTTTCCCAACCTTGTCAACCCCAACTTCTTCAATCCACTTCCTCACTTCGTCGTCGTAGATTCGAGCCCTCAGCGCTCCAAAGAAGTCTGCAAACACATTTTAGAAGCAAAGAAACATTGATAAGAGGGAGTTTGTTTTCCATCTTCAACATGTCTTCAAACAATAACCACTTACCAATGGACTGGCCCGGGAAAGTGTCGACAAGCTTGACGATATCCTGCTTGGGAACATTATCTGTTCTGAAAATGCCATCGCAGACACCAATTCTGTCCTCTCTGGTTGGCGCCCAGTAGAATTTCTCCATTCGGCCGTCTCGAATAAGAGGGGCGTACAGAGTGGAGAAATCGTTGCCGGTGACGATGATCGGAACCCTGGGATTCTCCTGCTTGTTGTACAATCCCGGAAGCTGAACGTTGGTCGGGTTATCGGCAATGTTCATGAGGGTGGCGTTCACCATTTGGTTGTTGACGGTGTACTGGGTGGTGCCCCCCATCCTTCCTGCTCCGGCGTCGAGATCATTGATGAAGAGGCAGCACATTTTTCCCTTGTTAATGATATCGGCAGCCTCGCGATATCTTTGTCTGATCAATTTCGCGGGCTCTCCGGCGTTGCCGCTTTCGAGTTCGCCGGCGCTCATCATCACTGGACTGGATGAGGTGAAAAAGATGATTTAGCATAGCAGCAAGCAAAATGAGTGGGATAAGTTTCTTGTACAAAAAGAACATGTTTTAAAAGTTATAATAGACATCTTTTTATCACAGTATGGAAGATTTGAGTGATATAAATAAAAAAAGAAAAATTAAAATTTCGGTGTCAGTATGTAAATACATAAGAATGAAGTGATATGTATGTAAAAGCCCATATTGTGGATTTTGATTTGGACAAGACAATGGATCATGAGCGGATCATAAATCTTCATATATATGCGCTCATCTCAATAAAAATCTAATTGTAAAAATAGTACACAATAATAAGAATTTTGGAAGATTTACCTGCATTCCAATCAATTCTTATGTATTGACATATCTAATATATAAACTTCAATTTTATATATATATATATATATCCCGATTTTCTTCAATTCAACTCGTACTTGCAAACCTGATTCAAGACCAAATGCATCCGATTTTGATGTTGTAAACTTAGACATGACGTTTGAAAATATATTTTTTTTGATTTATTGATTGACAAAAATATTAAGTATAGTAAATCTGATACTTGGTTGATAATGTAGATCCTAGCAATCCGTCGAACGAAGGATGGTGTGATGTGATTTATGTTGTAGTCCTCATATTCGAACCGACGAACGTATTTTGTGATATTGGTCTTGCTCAATACAACTTATAAGAAATTGTTCAAGGGACAAAATTCTCCGAGGAATTCCTCACAAAATATTTTGCAGGGAATGATCAAAACTGATTGAATATACCTGGAGATATAGAGGTCTGTCTTCCATTAATAATGTTTAAGTTCTTAAGCACAATTAATGAAATTCAAACATTACTTGAAAAAAGTTAAATAAAAATTATAGGAATTATGCCCTTCTGAGATCAACTGTAATTTTTCTCAATAAGAGGCAATGGAGAAAAAAAGGATTCATATAGCCGATCCCATGTAGTGAGTTAAAAGCTATTTGTTGTTGTTGTTGTTGTTAATATATGTTTGGCTCGATAAAAGCTCAACATTTAAGAAATTCGGTGCATATTCACTAATAATAATCAAATATTTTAAAACACGAAAAAAATTATGTTTTAGGGTTTATGACACTTAAAAATACTTTAATATGAAAATCAATAACTTTACTTTAATATGAAAATCCATAACTTCTATCATAAGTATGGTGCTATAAATGGAAATTTGTTCAGTCACTTGATAGTCATTGATTTAGATCATTGTTTTTTATACAGCTCAAACTTATAAGAAATAAGCTTTAATTACTTAAATATTTTGAAATTTAATTAAATCTAGTTTGATTCATATTAAAATAGTAATAATAACAACAAAAATAAGAACCCGCTACTATTGACATCACAAGTGTAATATGGTATGGATTTAAATAGGATTTAACTTACATTTGCCAGATGTAAATCCAGTGCTTTTTCAATTTCTTCTGAATTTTATCTTAAATTTCGGATTTAATCCCATTGTTAACAGGATTTAGTGAATTCGGGTTTAAAGGATGTACAAGATCAGCTAAAGTTGGCACCATACAGCCACTAAAAATTCAACATAAAACATACTTCTATCATTATTTCACTAATATCAGATTAAAATATCCTAAGAAATTAAGAAATAACTTACTTGATCCCCATCTTAGCAAAAACAAGTTCACATTGGAAGGATTTCCCCTGCCCTTTGCCTCCCCATATGCCCAAAATGAGGGGTACCTGCTCATGATTTTCACACACCAACTTCAGCCAAAAACACCAACACTTCAACTAACACTTCATGAACCTTAGTATCTGATTAACAGTACCTTTATATTGGGCAAAGTCATGAAATTCTTAGTGATGTGCACAACAAGCTTTTCCATGAAAGCTGGAGCTATGTAAAAACCATCCACGGTGTTGTCCATACTATACCTGAATCAAAAAACAGAGTTTTCAGTAAGTTTCAAGTCATAGAGATGATCTCTGTACAGTACAAAGATTAGGATTTGTACTTACTGACGAAGACCTTGGCTGATATATTCGTAGGAGTTCATGACAGCAATATGAGTTCCATCTCCCATGGGAGCTTGGAAGAGGGAGTCCACTGCACCCTTTCCTCTGGTTATGTCCTGCTGGTCATCAGATTGATCGTAGGCAAGTCCAGCCCACCGGTCCGTCTTCGTCTGCTTCGACTCGTCCAGATCTGCAGCCATGACCTTGAAGCTCCCAGCAGAGAGTCTCCCATGGATGACACTAGGGCTAACCTTCTTCAAGCTGTTGCCAAAGAAAGCAGAGCCTGGGGCTGAAGCGGAGGAGCCGGAGCCATGTAAGCTCAGCTGCAACTATAGAAGCAGAATCAAATTACTTAAATAGAAGTAACTTGTATTTTGAGTATTCTAAGTATGAAAAATCTGAATTTTCTCTTTTGCAAGCATTCATGGAAGCTCACAACAAAGAGAAATTTGGTTTGAAGTGAAGAGAAGCAATTGAATGAAGAGGAGGAAGAGGAAGAGAGCGCAGTACTGGAACTCGGTTTACAGCTCCGATGGTGGAGACTGCGGTGGCCATAACTGAAGCTGAGGATGAAGATGATCCTATGGATTAAGAGCGCGGAAGAAATGGGGGGCTTATTTAAGAACAGTGTGGAGTTGTTGATAGGCTGGGGGTGTGGTTGGCTCCGGCCTTCTTCACATTTGTGGCTGGATTTGATGAGTTTTAACGGCCACACAATTTGGATTGGGTTGGGACACGTGGCTGTATTTGGGTCGAACATTGTTGCTTATTGGTGCAACTTGCACAATTTGAGAGCCTAATTGGTGACTTGTGTGGAAGAAGGAATGGCTTTGATTCTCTTGCGCGGTTTTCTTATCTACGGATCTTTGTGCACATTTTTTCTACATAGGGAGATAAAAATAAAAAAAAGCTATGGATATATATATATATATATATATATATATATATATATATATGTGAGATGTTCTTTTGTGAGATATAGGGCCACTAGAGAGAAAAAAAAAATCTATGTATATATATATATATATATATATATATATATATATATATATGTCAGTAATGTTCTTATGAGATTTAACGGTCCAATAGAGAAAAATAATATGAAGATGAAGGTGGGCTCATTGCCAGGTGGTGAAGCCAATTTGTCTGATCGAGTGAAATTGTTCGAGCCAAGTCGTTAAGACTAAAGCCAACCAAACCACATGACAGATCACAGACTTCAGGAGAACACAAGAACGAGGCATCCGCCATAAACAAGACAAAAGGGTTTCCGAGCTAACCACAGGAGAGCCTATCTAAGGGAAGATCCGACACCCCAGTATCTCTAACCCTATCAATGACGCCCAGAGAATAGACAGCCAAAACATATCAATTGGTCCACCCATATCAACCAAGTTCAGCCGACTGACCTGATTTTGTCGATCCAAATCGATTAAGGTCAGTCGGTCAAGTCGGAAAGTAACGAGACGACAAACTTACCCACGCAAAATACTAATAATATTCCAGTACCGACCCTCCAAAGCAAGGAAAAACATGTAATATCGTCATTATATACCCTCTCTTCTATAAATGAAGTAATCATTTTATGAATAGGGGACGATTGATCATGACAAATTACTATTTATTCTCTTTGTTTCTCTCTCCCTGTCTCTCATAACTTAAATTTTAATCCTTGGGTGTGATTCATAAACAAATCAATATTCAACATCCTAAAATGTACGGTGAGCTTTGATCATGCCACCAACAAAAAGAGAAACCTCAAAACGAGAAGAATCATTGATTAGCTTTGACCTGACCAACTCTAGTTTTGTCAAGATAGATCCCAATCGACCAAGCCTAGACAATCGATCCAACCTAGATGGCCGACTTAGTCTAGCCTATTATTGAGCTAACCCTCTCGATACTCGGCCTACCACTTTCAACCATATTCACTCGGCCACATCCGCTTGAACACCTCCACTTAAGTGCCTTTCCAAAAAGTAAGAGGGAAGTGGTCTAGACTTTTTGGATTTTACATGATTGTCCGACTTGCCATGCTCATGCATCATAAAAACTCATGTATCATACCTCAGAGTTGGTCGACTCTGGATGTAAGATGGTATACCCATTATCGATAGTTTCGTGGTGGATAACGTTTGAATCATCTCAACAACAAGTCTGAATGGTTACCCCCATAAAAATTGCGATAATATCGGCTTAATACATTGGCATAAGGCCAATGTGGCCCACCCAAGACGATAGCATCCCACACTTTATCCATCCGTTTTTTAGCCCAATTTAGTCATTTGTCTGTAGAACATCTTCCAAAATCACCACTCATTCTTAAATAAATTTTTTAGTTGTATTTGGAAAGATAAGCAATTTCTTTTTTATAATTATCTTATTCCTTTCGCAGTTGTCTTTCAAAGAAATAAGATAACTAGAGAACTAAAATATGTACATAAAAAATGTGTCATCGTGGATCAAAAGGAAATCTGACGATCTATGAGTGAAGAGTAGACAAAGATGGGCCCACAACTAGATCATGAAGCACATTTGTTCAACTAAGTGAAGCCGCCCAAGCCAAGCCAGCAATGTTAAAGCCAACAAAACCATTAGACAAATAAAAAATGACCGGATGATACAAGAGCGAGCCACTCAGCCAAAAATGAGACAAAAAGGTATCTGAGCCAACCAACACATGAGAGCCCATCCAAGGGAAGATCTTGTTCCCTAGCATCTTCAACAATTCACGAACAAACAGAGGCTCCTCATCCGGGGTTCAAGGATTGACAGCGGGGTCATATTAATCGACTGACCCATATCGACCAAGCTCAAGCAGCCAAGCTAATCTTGTCGTGTTGAAGTCGACCAAGGTTAGCTAACCAAATCAAAAAGTTGCTGAAAAACAGGCTTATCCATGTAAAATACTAGTAATACCCAGTACAAATCTCTTTAAAGCAGTGACAAAAATATAATTTCATATTATGTTGCCCCTCCTCTATAAATATGAGAATCATTTTATGAATAGGGATAATTGATTACAATATACATTTTTTTTTCTTTATCTTTCTCTCACTCTGCATTTTATTTCTTAGGTGCGATTTACAGAAAAATTAGGATTCAACCATATATATATATATGGAAGATTACATAAATACCGCTCAATACCTATGTATTTACGTATCTAACACTTTTCAATGTATTTACGTATCTAACACTTGAGTTTCAATTTGTTCACTTGCCAAATTACTTATATATGAATATGTGTATTTAACTTTCTAAAAATTAAAATGATTGTATTTTTACTGCGACGCATGAGAGATTTGGGTGGTATAAATGTAAAAAATAATGTTGTTTAGGCATTAGATATGTAAATAAATAGGCATCCGGAGATAAGCATGTGAATGAGTCTCTCTCTCTCTCTCTCTCTCTCTCTCTCTCTCTCTGTGTATGCATGTTTCTAGTTTTAACTCTTATTAAATGAACTTTGGAGAGCTGATCCCATCCCACCTTGAATAAATAGAGTAGCATCTCTTTCCATTTTCTGCTCTCCTTCCAATCATAACATCATTTCTTGCATGGAAGAAATAATGATGGAATACTCATAGCTCTTACTTATCAGATTTGGGTCTCATGAAAAAGCCACAAGATCCGGCAGCTCGGATTCCACGGATATCAAAGCGGTTCTCACCTTGCTGACCCAATTATCAAGCCGGTCGCGCAAAGATTGGATCTGTGGAACTCCAAGAACCCTAGGTTGTACCCATGACACATGCACTCTTCCTTCCACTTCATCTATTATTCCTTCAATGAGGCGAACCTATATATAGAATAAGAGAAATCATGATTGTCAAAATAACTTTTTGTGTTCGACTGTTTATTGCTCGGTAATTTGTTTGCATTCGAGCAATTTTTATAAGCTCGTATATTTAACAAGTCGGGCATGAATGACGACTTGTTAGACCAAGTTCAATTTAATAATAGATTGATTCTATAAATACATGTTCCCACACGTATTCATACCTCAACTTATTTACACTCCTATAATTTAATAGATTTGAAGCATGTTAGAAAGGAATTAAGAAAATTACAAACTTACTGATAGACTCTTCATGAGAAGATGCTCAACATCCTCTATGGCAAGCTTAGTCCGATCTGCAATGATTTTCAGTGGAATTGTCCGGTCTTCGGAAGGTCGACTGAAGAGCGCAAATAAGGAGACAAGAAAATTTTAGTGGAATATGCTTTAACAATAGAAGCGCTTGTGTAACTTGAGACCAAAAATAATTTAATGGGCATATTTACATGCATAATAACGCCCAATTTTTATGTATCTACATATCACCTAAACTTTACTTTTTGGCATTTATACCACCCAAATATTTTGCATCACATCAAAATACCACTTTAAACTTAAAGTAAGATGTAAAAATTGAAGTTTAGGGGTTAGATATGTAAATACATAGGAATTGAGTGGAATGCATGTAAATCTTCCATAAATTTAATATATGGCGTGTAAAATTATACCTAAAGATGATTTCCATCAAACAGAGAATGTTTATCTTCTCCAAAAGCTTCTCCTCATTGGCTACCAGTGCCGGTTGTGCATTCAATGCAGAATTGTAAACTTTACAAAGTTCTTGGTAGCGAGCTAAATTGCCAGTGTTAAATGCCTGTAATATGTGGTATATCCACTCTGCTTTTGTCCCAAGAAGGCTTTTGATCTGCAATAAAAAATTAAGCTGAGAAGTATGAGGAAAACAAAATAAATATTTGTGCAACTAGTTGCGAAGCACAGAGCTTTGAAGTTGAAGTATAAAGCAACTTAGGAAAAGAGAAATCTCCAGAGTTTTAAAACTGTTTATATCTGGCGCAATTATGGCTCTTAAACACTTGAAAAGCCTAGGCCGTGCTTGCCCAAGTGAAGGCTTTGAAGGATAAAAAATAGCTACTCCAATGATAATAAATTCTTTTTTAATATTAAAAAGAGACTTCCGTTACAAAAACTAGGTTAAGTCTTCAAGTTTTGCGGCATTCCAAGATTCAAATACTTGCTAAATAGATGATCTAAAATGACTGCCCTAAACACATGTTTAAATGGCTCAACTATAGTAGTTTAGTTAAACTACTATAGTTTATAATATATATAGCTTAAAATAATCTATAATCTTTGCTATTATCCATTTCATCTTCTTCATCATCACCCATACGCTCGTCTATCACCAGATTTATAGCCTATATCAAATCTATGTCCCTATCTTTCTAAACTCCACCGCATGCTTCAAATTTACTACCTTTTAACTATGTCCTTATCAGCTTGCTGTTAAAAAGTAGGATCTAACATCTTTCAACGCTCGTGTTCCTATCCCGCAAGTTTTGTTCGGTATTTTTTATCCTCGTTTCCAACCTATCATGCATCGTGGTTCACTATCGGATCACTAAAAAATATTCCCTTCATTTCTGTTTTTATGAACGAAATTATTGGAGGGAAACTTTCCAAGAGAGTAATATTATTAATTTGAGTTGGTATTAAGCTGTGAGATGACCTAAAAAAGCCTAAAATACTCTAAAAAAAAACTTTTATCAATTCTTGTCCAAAGAAACAATAAATATTATCATAGAATCAAATTGGTTTAGATTTATTAAATTGAGTGACTAAATTAAGCACCTGACAAGAATTCTAATACTAAACTAAATGCATCTAAAAAGTCGGGACTATTTCGATCATTTACTCTTTTCGACCCATTTGGACTTCTCTACTTATTCCGGTTTCTGCTTCTATGTTTCTCTGAGCTGCAGTTCAAACTCTTACCCGCTATTTTAATTTCTTTCCAGAAGTACTCCATACTTAGGGCCCGTTTGGGGCAGCTTATAGAGTGCGACAGCGTTTTCCGAACGCCGCATTACTGTTTAAATATCGTGATGGCTCTGGATTTTTGGTGCCGCTGCGTATTTTGATCGCAATTTTCTTTCTATCTTCGCAAGCAGGATATCCCCTGCGTTCCGCGTATGAGTTTTGCGTTAGGGAAAAAATTTCTGCCCCGCATATCTCCCTCGCCCTCCCTTGGAGAATCGTCGCGCCCCCTCTTCAGCCTTGCCTCGGAGATCCCTCGACTCGCCCTAGAAGAATCGTCACAGATCTCCCTCGATTGGGAGAATCGCCGCCTCGCTTGGCTCGCGGAAAGGAGAATTGCAGATCTCCCTCGATCTCCTCCGCTCCTTCGCAGGGAGCATCGCAAATCCCTCGCCTCGCCTCGCCTCGCAGATCTCCCTCGGCTCGCCCTTTCGAGGAGAATTGATCTCCTCCGCTCCTCTCCTCTGCTCCCTCGGTTCACCCTTCCAGAATTGGCGCAAGGTATATCCGATAAATCAAAGAGTTCTTCGCCAATCACTCGGGCGCTCTCAGCGAAGAATTATTATGGGTTTGGGGCAGGTCTTGCTTATTGGAAGCTCATTAAAACTAATTTGTTCATAACTTAGATGCGGTGATTATTATAAATTTTTTTTTTTAAATAAAAAAGTTAGATTGTATCCAGAAAGTTGTCACCACACCTAGATAAGCACAGTATAAAAACATTATTTTCAGCATTTTAAAAACACTTAAGCTACGAAAACTCAATTTACCCAAACAGTTATGGTGCGTTTTCAAAACGCCACCGCACCAAATAAGCTGTCTCAAACGATTAGGTTACATGTTCGAGTACATATCACTCAATTTATTTATGCATGAAAAATATATATTTCACATTTTAAAAATTAAAATGATAATATTTTTTTAAATGATATGATATATTTAGCGTTATAAGTGAAAAAAAAGGCAAAATTTCGACGTGAGAAGCCAAAGGAATTGAGATGTACGTATGCTTTATATTTACTCTTAATAATAACACTTAGAGTTTTAAATCTATGCATGAAAAATCATTTTTCATCTTTAAAAAAGTAGTAAATGATATTCTTGATGTGATATTGAAGATTTGACTCTTATGTAATGTAAATATTTTTGTTTAAGTACTAGATATATAAATACATAAGAATTATGTGGCATATATAAAGAATTGTTGGTAATAAATTAAATTTATAATATTTTTTGGCTATCCTTCGAGCTTGAATGGCCTTGTTATGATAATTGTAGGAGAGATATCATGCAATTTGTGTTTACATCAAATTTAGATTAAATTCAGTTATAACAAAAACATGCATATATAGTTAATCTAAATTTGGGGAATTTACATACATAGAACGCAATTCTTATGCATTTACATATCTCAAACCTAAACTTTCATATTTATACACATAACATCCGAAACCTCAATATCAAATAAAAAATAGCACTATCATCACTTTTTAAAAATGAAATACACTGTTTTCATGAATATGTTTAAAGCACCAAAGTGCTATGCATGTAATACATTTTTCATTCATTGATTTAAAGTGTGATGGATGTAATCAATGTGTGATGGATGTAAATGTAAAAGTTTAGGTACGAGATAGGTAAATATATAAAAGTTGTGGGTGATGTATGTAAATTTCCCTTTAAAAGTGAATTTACATACATAAAACACAAATCTCATACATTCACATATATCAAACTAAAACTTTTATATTTACATACATATTACCCAAAACCTCAATATCAAACAAAAAATAACACTATCATCACTTTTTAAAAGTGAAATACACATTTTCATGCATTGATTTAAAGCACCAATATGTGATGAATGTAAATATATAAGAAATGTGTGCTAAGTATGGAGTTTGCAAACATAGAACACAAAATTTACATATATCTCAAACCTAAACTTTCATATTTACATACATAACACTCAAAACTTCAATATCAAATCAAAAATAGCAATATTATCTTTTTTTTTTTTTAGTGAAATACATATTTTCATGCGTTTATTTAAAACATCAGAGTGTGTTGTTTGTAAATATGAAAGTTTAGGCGTTAGATATATAGATACATAAGAATTGTGTGGTGTATTTGCAAATTTGCCCAAAAAATAGGGTGCATAACCTAATTTAAATGTTTCCACATGTGTGAGTCATACATATATTACCAAAAGATGTTTTGCTCATTGTTTTGGATGGCATTAATATAAGTTAATAGACATAAACTATAGAATGATATTTTCTAAGAAAAAATAAGTGTTTGATGCCTGAGTCAACATCTGGTGATAATGAATAGTCACCTTGACCTTTCTCCTCATATAAGGAGCAATTAGGAGATTGGGAAGATGATTGTCAAGTGTCTACAGTTCAAAGACAACAAGTGTCAATCATTAGCAATCATTGAGTTATGATCAAACAGGAATGTTGAATATTAGGAGACAACTAGTAGTTAGTTAGATCCTTCTTCATATAGAATAGTAGACTAATAATCAGGAACGTGGACATGAACTGAAAGTCAGCTTGGTGCATAAATTTAAAACATTAACATGTCTTGAATGTAATTATGAAATTAGAACTGGGGCATGCATAAATACATAAGAATTATGTGCTATGTATGCAAATTGTTCATTAAAATTTTGGTTTTAAATATGAAAATACCTAAGTGTTGAGTCGTATGCTTATAACAACAAGATATATCATCAAAATTATAGAAAACTGAATCATATTTTTAAATTTCTCCAAACTACTTGAACTGAAAATGTATAAGATATAAAAGTTGAAATTAAAAAAAAAAATTACTTTAGGAAAGAGTGTGAAATCGAGATTAACTACGATTTGAGTTTATAAATTTAAGAAATAATTGACTCTAACGAAAATGGGAACGAAAAGGTGTTGATTCGCTTTAGGACAAAAGCGCGCAAGGGAAAGAAATGAAAATTTTAGGTTATCAGTTCATATGGTAAACCTCTCCGACGAGTTTTTGATAGTCATTGACCTTTGGTTTTTAATTAATTATTAACTGACATATTCGCCCATTCGTTATTAAATTACTAATAACCCATGGTCGGATCCATCTGTTTTAAAATCCACTGGAAAACCATCACTAAAATCGTTAGAACAACCGACACACCCATGATAGTCAATTTTTTCGCCGGTTTTAGTTCTCATTCGATCTTGTAGTTTTCTAGGCGTGTTGATTCAATGAAACCAAAAATAAAAGTATTCTTGGCCTAGTGAAGAAATGTAATCAAACAAAATTATCTAATTTTTAAAAAGGCCTACTAAAAAAATGAGAAAAAAAATCATCGGTTCCATGATGGTCACAATCATAACAGTAATTATTATCTTCTAAATATCTTTAAGCAGACTAATCAAGAATAGGAATATATAATAGTTTACAGTTGATGGACATAATAATAAGTAACCGTCAATTGAGTTCGAACAATTGATTAAATAGATAAGATTGATGGTGTTGCTAGTGTTAAAACATCTTAAACAATAGCCTTCAAAGATTCATGCAATAAATTTTATATTCATTTAGTCTTTATGATTGCATTTATAGACAAATTTATCAATCTATCATAATATTTATGGTGATTCCTCCATAGAAAATACCATAGTAATCCATGAAGTGCTTATAATTTCAATTGACAGTATTAGCTTAGTCAAAAAATTCTTCCTAGGCTTAGTTTAGGTTGAAGATGGATGAATTTAGAGATGATCATGGTTCGCTCATTTAGATCTCTGAAAAGAGATGCATTCCTTGGATTTCCTCAAACTTGAGGAGGTATGATCCGACCATAAATTTCATGAGATAAAGTAGATAAACTTTACCGTCGTCAAGATGAAAATGACTACAATAATTCTCTTATAGTAATCAAAGTTTTTATTGAGAGATTTAGAAATATGAGTAACTCCATGCAATGTTAGTACAATATTACATGCGAACTCTTAAATAATATTTCATTTACATCAGACGGCTTCACACATCAGGCAATAATAAAAAATTTTGGCCTCCTAATAATACTTCATAAACATCAAAACAAACTTAGATTGAAATATAAATCAAGATATATTTAAATGATTACATGCCAACAGTTCATCACCTGTACTTTTTCTTGCCCTTACGAGATCATAACACAATTGATTTGAGGGAAAGAAATCTGCAACAAAATTCAAAACTATTTCCTTAAAATTTGCAGAAGAAATTATGTACCGATTCAAGGAATTCTACTAAACCTATTATCTAAACTTGGTTCAGAATATTACAGCAATTCATTTCAATTAATTATAGAGAAACAATACATCATTATTGTAAGCTAAAAAGGAAAAAGAAAAACTAAGATTATGATGCAAGCAACAACTTCTTTGCTGTAAGATATTTCTATTTCTTTCGTTAAAAGCATTCCTTTTTTTTTTTTAAGAAAACAATAAAAATCTGCCTTATAAGGTAAGAAAAAACTATCTTACAAAATAGTTATCATAATTGTCTCGCAAAGTAATAGGATCGAAGATATTTATTTATTTATTTCATTTAAGCTCATCTCATCCACAAATGACACTAATGATTACATGAAGCTAACTTATGGCCCGTTTGGGACAGCTTATTCGTGTATTTGGCTTTTTAAAACTGCACATGTGGTGTTTGTTTCGTGCGTTCGATCTGTGTATCCCACCTGCAGTTCTGATTTGTCTATTAGACGCGGCCCGCGAGATCAACGCCGCGGCCAGAGTCTTCGATCAGATTACTCCTCTGTTCGATTTTCTCCCGCTCGAGATCTCGGTTGCTACTATCTCGCTCCTCCACCGCCGTCAAACCGACAACGATAGAAGACGATGCTTCCTTTCTTTCAGGTTCTTTCGTGTCTGCAAACAAGAGGGAGCCGACCAGATAAAGAGATTTATCCCACAGAGAGCCGACCAAACATGAAGATTGGCCCGTTTGGGACAGCTTATTCGTGTATTTGGCTTTTTAAAACTGCACATGTGGTGTTTGTTTCGTGCGTTCGATC